TAAATCCATTCGAGATTCATATGTACATATTTGCTTGTTTGAATAAATGCTGTAATTGTGTAAACAACTGACCATGGGTTCATGGAAGGGAAACTTCAATCTCTGACCAAAATGTTTAGAATTTTCCTCAAAATCTACAAATGCCTCTGTTCACCACATTTTACTTGCTGGTATTGCTCTGATGACAGAAAATCTTGCACTATCAAAGCGACCCACTGGTAGTTCTCCCCCTCATCCAAATCAAAATGGCAATGTAAAGGTGCAGGTAATATTGGATGAGATCGTCAAGCTTTGAAAAAAGGGGTGATAGGCTTGTACAATGGCAACGAGAATAACTGGTATTATCCTGTATTTTACCATAGTAACACTGAAGGACGTCCTATGGAGTTTAAGACATGGATTACTTAATGCATGTCCTTGGATTTGCGTTCAAACAGTCGCCATTACTCAGCTAGTTCGGGAAAGTGTGTGTTTGTAAACATATCAGATGATTGAATACACATATTTGCGTTGTCGATTTGGTTGAGTTGATGACAAGTTGGCTTCTGTCTCCTCATACAACTTACATAACGTGCTAGGCTGTTTTGATGTTAACGATGCGAAGAGACAAATCGTGCAATAATCTCCAAAACAATGTACTACAAATCGCGTATTTTAGCTGTGCTAATCTCATGGACAGAATTAGTTACTTTCGACACTAACTGTCTTAATATCTGCTTAAATGGTCGGTAAATCTCTAGAATCAATGACATGCTATAATTTATCAAAATAGGGACACATGGTAATGTCCAACACACGTGAAATTATAAATCTATATTTACATTTTGTTGAAGTGTGTATTCACGAAGATATATCGCATTTTTGTATTTTATCCATATTATGAAGATATTGAGTGTGCCATAAAAGCTGCAAGCTATTATTTTATCAAGTTTGTCAAATTCAACTCGTAAACCACAATTGTCTGAGATTTTATGTTAAGTTATCAGTATAGAGGAGAATACCGATTTTATCCGATTGTTTATTTATAAATTGTATATACCTGTCAAGTAGCGATTTCGAATTAGAAGGGTAAAAGTTTCCGTAATCCGTTTTTAATTTGAACGTGTTTCCTAGGTGTGCTGCTATGTTCTTCTTCGCTTGATTAGTTGCTTGGGGAATGTTTACAGAACCACTTTGTAATTACAATACTAAATATGCTCCTTATACTTATAGGCCAACTTTGCATTACATACAAAACACTTCCCACTGATTAGTGTGATCAACCTGAATAATGTGTCGGTTGGTCCGGGGGCAAATCCTGAAATACTGGAGATTTGGATCACTCGAACCACTCTACACTATTTTCGGGATCAATCATCAAGATCAAAGTCAAACATCGAAATTTTGGTGAATACGAGTTCCCATGAACCGTACAAACTTAAAGGACTTCTGGTGCTTACATGCATCAGTGCGAAAAGCGTTCTGTAGAGCATACAAAGTATAGATTGACATACCCTATAAATCATTTCCTTCATGTAAAGACACAACAAGTTGGGTGTAGTGCACAGCATATACCTAACAGTATGTTTGTACAGACTCATTGAATTAATTCATTGACAAACAAACTCGATTCCGATTCATAGTAATGATAACTGGATATTAATATTGAATAATAATATAAGAATTTCAAGAATAAGCTAAATATTACTGAAACTAACTGAAACGCTGGATATGAAGGGAAAATTATTTAGTCCAACACACCGTGATATCGTTATCTAAAAATTTAGTTTTTCTTCAGCGTTGTCGTCATCAACCATATACAGTAACTCGATACATTCAATGCAAGGTTCCTGTAAATTAAAAAGAAATAACCGAGTAATGAACACACCAAACGTATTTGTGAAAGAAGCATCGTTAATAAATAGATAACTAAATAGTAAATAGTATTGCGTAATTTAATAATTAATTTAATAATTAAGCGCAATTATTCGATACAGGTACTACAATTACAAGCACTAAACAAAGACAATTAACAGAAACAATATTCATTCGTCATTGGAACAAAGAAATACATGCAGATATCGCCAAACTGAGGACATACAAAGAATTCAAAAAAATGTTTGAAATGAAAACATATTTAACATTGATAACAAATATTGATCTACGAGAGTCAATCTATCGCTCCCGTTTAAGTAACCATGACGTCAAAATAAAAAAGGGAGGCATACTAAACCAAAACTACTAACAGAAAAAAAGGAGAAAGAATGATTTTTTTTGTCCAAAGATTGAAGTAGAAGACGAATATATCATTTTATAACAACATGTCTTTTTACAGCGACCAAAGAAAGAATTTAAATGAGGGAGCAGGAAAGCAAATAAATGATTTATAATGATAATGGGAAATAAAAACATTGCAATAAATATTGCCTCGGCCACATTTATAAAAAAACAATTTGATCCCGTGACACCAACATCTTTCGTCAGCATAGCACAATCATGATATAATGTTTATTATACATCGCCTTAAAATAAGACTACATCACCCCATGCTGGGAGAATAATTATAGATACATTGTAATGTATTTTCGTGTGTTTATTTGGATCTTGTAATCTTTCACTTATGATCATTAGTGACCTTACTGCATTGCTTTCCATATTCTGTGCTTTGCCAAAAACTAAATTTCATCAATCGGCAAAACATAGATTTCTCGATAGAGTACAAACATCCAGAATGAAAACAAACTTTCAACCCTCCAATGTTAAACTTTTCGCTTATTCTGTGGCTTATTCTGTGGTAAAATATAAAACTGAAAATTCGACATGATTTGTGAGATTAGCTTCCGGTAATTTATACAAATATGGGAGTTTGATTGACGTGAATAAATAATTTACTTATTTAAAATATGACCAATCAACACGCCACGTCAAATATCGGAGCGCATGGAAATCGTATTAATAGCAAATGTACTAGAGTGTATTTTCGGTAGTAATGTAGAGAAACAGACGGCGGAAACTGGGGTAGTGTGTTTTGCTATGCTATTAATAATGAGTGATTTGAAACTTTTATCGTTTTGATGTAAATGTGTTGTAAATTGATTTAAATACAAAATACTGTACTTACTATACACATACATATTCCACTTCAAGATACTTGTGAGTGGAGGGGCATGGATCTGTTCCGAAAACATTTGTAGCAGATAACACACCACATGTGCTGACGCCCTCACAATAAGTTTGCACTATTGATAGACTGTTTGCTGCATAACAATTGGTGTCAATAACATGGGTGTGATGATATGAACAGGTACTATCGTCTTCAGTACGTCCGTAGTTTGCTGATACTATATGGATAGACTTGTCGAAGCAATTCAGTTCCAAAACACCTTCATTTTGACAGACTATCACGGTAGATGTAGCTAATTCACCACTAATTTGATTGCCTGAAAATAGAAATAAACAAGTTTACACGATAGAATAGTGGTTAGGTAAGTATTATTTCTTTGATGTTGAAATCAAGTTAGATAGACAATTTACCCAAAACAATTGTCACACACATATTTCGATGAATGTTGCCATATTTTTATTTACGACTACTTCCAATCAGGAAGACCTTATAGGTTAGTATGTGATCAAATCCCACTACGTGTAACGTGAAACGTCTTCAATTTGGCATTACATTACATTCAATGGTATAACAGAAACGGTTAATTGGCTTATCACGGAACAAGACACTTCGGGTGACGTGAGGAATGTGTGTACAACGGGTGAAGGTAGAACAAAAATATGGTTTTTAGTTCAAATGGCATTATCGTGTTCGAATTTCACCTAAACATTTATTTAGCATGTTTGGCACCGTTATATGACAAGCACCATTTTATCAATAATAAGTTGATATTAAAGAGCATATTTCAAAGCATCAACCGTTATTTCACATCTACGTCACTCACAGTGGTATTTCACTTCAAGGTACTTGAATGTACCCACACACGGATCGCCAAACACACCATTCTCGGCAACTACGTCGCATGATATTTCTCCGTCGCATACATCATAGACGATATTGTAGCTAGTAGTAGCAGAACAGTTAGTTGTCTTTATAGGACCTCCACACGTGACTCCATCTTTACGTCCATAGTTGGCGCTCAGTATGTGAATAAAACCACAATCACACTCCAGGTGGAGAGTTTGATGTTCGCACACCAACTCTGTTTGGATAATTTCATACACCGTATGCTTCGATGATGTCCCTGTCGCACCACAGTCGATCGTCTCTCCAAAATTGTCCTGATTCTGACATGCATCGGCATCTGAGTGACAAGCACCTCCATCTAACAATGAGAAAGTTGTCCACCCTCTAGCTGCAGCTGCCTGGGCACACTTCTCTACATGAAGCTCACGCTCCAGATGGTGGAATACTAAGTAGTCATCTCGGCATTCCAAAGACTCAATGGGTTCATCATCTGTATTGGTGTTAAAGCAACCAACTTTAACTACCTCTGTTAATTCAAAATAAAACACAATATAATGCATTGTTAGAATGTCAGTTCGTGACTGGACATAAACCTAACTACACACGCACACGTGTCAGGTGTAAATAGAGGTTTG